TATGGATATTAGTATTCTGGTCTCACTCCTCATCTATTGGAGTCAAAAAGCACCATAATTAATTTTTCCAAGAGGTGTAAATACATTTGATTTGTTTAGTGTGTTCATAAGGGATTTATATTTTCAGACAAGAAGATGGCTTCGCGCATAATATCAAGAACAAATTTAATAATTTTAAAATTTCATTTTAATATAATTTTATATTAAGAAATATAATAAATTTTTTTTTTTAAAAAAAAAATCTACTATTGCTGCTTGAAATAGCATGTGAAGTCCGCATGTGAATTGTACCTGTTATTTTTTTATATTTTAGCATCAATCCAGAAAAAATTTACACATTTATAATATACAAGATTCGAACTCATTCGTCTTAAATAATAGTCAAAAACTCTCAGCCAAAATGAGTTGCATAACTGCACCTTGTTTTATTGTGGTCTTTTCCAATGGACATGAATTAATTTAATTAGCAGGGCTCTTGTGTGTGTGTGTGTGTGTAAAGTATATATATATATATATAATATATATATATATATAATATATATATATAATATATATATATATATATATATTATATATATATATATATATATATAAACCAAATTAAAAAAAAAAACTATGCATTCATATCCAGAATATATTGAAGAGAAAGCTGTTAATAAGATCAATATTGAATGGTTAACAACAAATATCAATCAAAGCCTTCGGGAGATTGAGCAAAAAATGAGCTGTAAAATTTTGTAATTTTTTTATTAAATTCCTTAAATATAAGTTCAAAAGTCACATAAATAAATTTAAAAAGTTTTGAAAGTAGAATTCTGATAATATTTTTTATATTATTTTTTTTTCCTGAGAAAAACTCCAGTGGTGGTGATAGGGAGGTGAAACTAGGGGTGTCAATATTATGACAGACACGACAACCCGACCCGGAAAATCTGGGATTGACCCCGACCCGTTTGATAAACGGGTCGGGTTCGGTTTACAGATTTGACCGCCGTTTGGATAAAACGGGTCAGGTCGGGTTGCCCCGGGATGTTTACCGGGTCAACCCCGAAAACCCCCGTTTAAATTTTAAAAATATATAAAAAAATATTTCTGTACAAATGAGTTCCCTCGATGCTCATTTGATGGTATTCCTCAGCCACTCCATGACAAGCTCCAATTATCCTTGCTCCGCCAAATGAGATCATTTTAGGCAAGGGATCTGGTTTCACGTGCTCCGGGGAGCCTCCGGTTGCAGCTCAAAGCTGGTACTTTTCTGACGCTCCTGCCAGCTGCACCTCCACTTATGCGTGTTTTAACCAAGATGAAGGAAAGTACAACACCAGTTGTTTGCAAACTTTAAAATAAAGTTTTTAATTCCCAAAAAAAAAAAAACTTTATAAGTTAATGCACCAGTCTCCGGCCTCACCGTGCAAGATCAATATTTGAGAGCACGTTTGCCAAATTTGAAAATTAAAAAAAAAGTTTGGAAGAATGTTGCCGGGTCGCTGGGTCGGTGTCTGGGTTCAACACCGGCAACCCGGCCGGGTCGGGTCCGGGTTGAATTCCGACTCGTTTGTAAAAACGGGTCGGGTTCGGTTGACCCGTTTAGATACGGGTCGGGTTGGGTTCGAAGCCCGAACCCGGCGGATTGACCCGAATTGACACCCTAAGGTGAAATTGCCCAGCGAAAAAAATATAAAACGAAATTAAAGGCAATGTGCTTCGATGGGGAGGAGGAACCCCGTCCATTCAGGGCTAAATTCCATTCAAGAATGCCAACGTTTTCTGGTGGAATGGTCTTATTCATTTGCGTGAATTATCTAGAAATTGGTTCGGCCAAAACACCAAATCTTGCAAGTTCCCGCGAAAAAAAAGTTGTTCAAAATTAGAACATTTTAATCAACACAAAACCTAAACAGCCTGATTTCATTGTATGCGTTGTTTTCCTACTATATTTTTCTATGATTTAAGCCTGAGTTTCTATTCACCTGTTTTCCGGCTTTCGTCTCAATTATTCTCTCTTTCTAAAAAATTTCTTTTCTTGGATCATTTTGAAGCTAAAAATCTTGTAGAAGGCCCGCAGAATATGTGCTCTTGCCGTGTTAGGTGACGCAAAAGAAATGTGTTCATGCGCTGCCGGATCAAACGTGATCATAAGATTATCCTCTATATACAGGTAAAAATTTGGTGTCCAATTTTGTTCTTCTTCTTAAAATTTTTATTTTTTTTGGGGCCTATATTGATGAAAGGAACTGCGGAAACTATTTTCTAAATTCTTTATTCATTTATTTTATGCAGTGTCTTGAAATCTGCTTGGTAGTGGCACGACAGGTCAATGTTTTTTACTCCATGAAAATTGTGGCTTTCTTTTTCCCCTGTTTTTTAACTGCAAGAATGTTTGATGTTTGGCGTCTTTGGCTTTGGTTGCTCCAGTATTTTAATAAGCAACTTTATACAAACTGCAAAGATGTTTATGTTATGCACTTAGTTATTTTAATAAGCAACCTTCAAAATATTTTACAAATTTTTATAAGCAACTTTGTCATAAATTTTAAGTAGTTACATATTTATAATGACATATTAATTATATCAAACAAGAGGTGGTAAATGATCTGAAGGTAGCTTCAAAAACTCGACTCGGTAATGAGCTCGCAAGCCGAGTTTGTGGAGCCTCTGAGCTTCGTCTATTAAATGAGGCTCTAAGTTACATTTTGGCTATGTAGTATCTGAGTTATGGACGACTTCTATGTCGTTAAAATTCCTTCAAATTAAATTCAATATCTCTATAAAATGTGCTCAATGGCAAGATCATCATGATTAATTCCATTTTTATCAAGTAATCGCAGGAGTATTTTTAATTTGGTATTTTTTGAAATTTCAGGCTACCAGCACATCTAATAAACAACAATACTTCCACTGAAAGCAAACCCAATTCATAGAAATTCATGTAATGTCTAATCTGTAAGTTATGTAGACAAGACATCTGTTTCTTTAAATATTTGTTTTGCCTTTTTCCATATTCAACACCTAGTAATCATTAGCCTCAAATTGAATCAAATTTCTTAACACATTATTTTGCGCATTGCACATCCTAATTTATATGTCTTTGAGATATATTGCATGCATGACATGTCAACTCAATATCAGCACAAAATTAAGCAAAATTTGAACTTAGCTCAAAGTTTCATTGAATACATGATCGAATTATTAACTATTGTTTTGAACTTGTATCAAAATTGTTATGTGCTTTTTCTTGAAAACCTATTGTTGAGCATGATCCAAACTTAATTTTGATTCTTGATTGAATCAATTATTTGCTAGAGGTGTCAATATTTGACCCTGCTTGGACTTCGACCCAAAAGTTTGGGTTTCCGGGTAAACGCTGTTTGGCCAAACGGTCGGTTTTGGGTTTGACCCAGCAACCCGTGCTAGACCCCGTCCCGCCGTATCAAGCCTCACTTCCTACTTTGCGTTCGGGTCCAGTGTATTGGAATTGGGTCGAAACGAGTTTGGGGCAGGGTCCGGATCCAAGTCGAATTTCTGGACTCGTTTCCAAAAATCGAGTCGAGTTTAAGTCAAGTTGGGTTGGGAATCGGTTAAATAACGAGGGGTCTTTTGGGTTGGTCTCAACCCAAACCTAAAAACCATTTTGACATCCTATATTTCGTATAATGATCGAAGTTTCTTGACAATTGGTTCAGTCCTTATTTTTAAACACAACATTCATTTTATAATATTGTGCAATTGTTTAACGCTGCTAATCTCATATCTAATACTTTTTTAGGTTTATGTTTTAGGGTGTAAACTAGGATTCAATCACTTAACCTTCATATCAATTTTGGTTGGCTTAGTTTGAAGAATGAGACAAAAATATAGCAATTGTACACTTTTTTACATTAGAAACTAATCATCTATAGCGAATTAGAATAACTTAGAGAAGAAAGAAACCAAGAAGGATGAACGAATGAGGGGTGGGTTGATGCACTGAAACATTCGCTTATATAAAATAATTTTGTCTCTTGAATTACAATGGCAATTTCGATATGGAACTTTTGGATATATTAACTTAAGAAATGAAATGTTGGACATATTTCTCTAGTTTCAGATATTATAGAACATATAAACTCAAATTTCCTCATATTAATATGTGTGATGCTCTATTGAAAAAAAAGGAAATTAATAATTGAAGAAAATACAAACTAAAACTAAAAGAAAAAATATAACTCCTAAGAAAGTAAAAAGACTCCGAAAGAAATCAATAAGCATTCAGTCTGTTTCCCTTCACTGCTTCCATACCGGCAAATTAAGTGAAGCATCAATAAGTATTCAGTCTGATTCCCTTCACAACTGCCATGTCAGCAAAATAAGTAAAGCATATGAATCTGAATCCATACATAGTATCTGTAAAATGAGCTAATCACGAAAGGGAACTGTCTGAACCTGAGTGGAAGAAATCATATTTTCGATGTCTGCTTTGCAAGATGCTATTGGATCTTTATTTCCTTTCATTTCTGTTGTCTAAAGCTGTTGTAACGTTGTATAAAAATGTTATTGATTATAATTTTCATCTTTGTCGGCTAGCACTTCCTTTGATTTTCTTTTGTTTGAAAAAAAGAAGCGGGCTTCAAAATCTAAAGACAATAAAACAGGGACGTTCATAGAAAAAAACTAAATTTGGAGACTAAAACAGCATGGCAATTGAAGAAATGAAAATCAACTGTTAGTAGTTGCAGAAAATTTCTATCAGGTTCTCTTTGTCACTTTGTATTATATTGTTCTTACCACTTTACGTCGAATGACAGTTTGGCTTTTAATTTGAGAAGTACGGTTTTTATGCTTGTTATGGGAGATTTCTGATTTGCTGATCTTTTTTGGGTATCTAATCTTCTTTCTAGGTTTGAATTTTGCTGTCTGGTATGGACCTTCCTTATGGGAGTTTCTCTCTCTCTCTCTTCATAAACCAATATGGAACCAAAAGTTGGTGAATAGCTCTTGACACATCCTTTGTCTATCCTTAGAGATCGTATTGCTCTGACTCTTGGAGTGGTTTAATGTGATTACTTGGGGAAATTGCTGAAGTTCCTCAGATTATAACAACTTATAGAGAGAAATCAGTCCGTGGGGTTTTCTGTCGCCTTCTTGATGGCAAGGATTATTGGGTATTTTATAAATTTCTTTCAATATTTTTTTTTATTTGTAAATACCTTTGTTTTTTAATGTCCTTTTCCTTTTTTATATTATCTTAAATGAAAACTCAAGTATTGCAACTGTTTTCGAAACTGAAGTTCAGTAGTTGGTAAAAGTTCATTATTAGCTAGCACAAGTCGAGTACTTATTGAAGAGTCCATGTCTTTGCTAAAAAATTTTCAAGTTTTTTTTATCTAAACCTGAGCAAGCCTTGAATTTTTTGAGCCCAATTCGTTTGTATTCTCATAGGCTTTGCACCCAAATTTGCTGTGTTAGAGAGTGTCATAGTGATAGATTATAACAACTTATTGAATAAATTCAGTCCAGGGCTTTCCATTGCCTTCTTAATGGCATGGATTGTTGGGTATTTATATATTTTCTTTCTATGTTTTTTATCATTTATAGAAACATTTGTTTTTTAGCTTTTTGTTTTGTTATATTCCCAAAGAAAACTCAAGTTGTTGCAAGTTGCAGCTGTTTTCAAAACTGAAATTCAGTAGTTGGTAAAAAGTTCATTATTAGCTAGCGTAGGTAGAGCTCTTATTGTTGAGACTCTTATTGCTGAGACGTCTTTGCTCTAAATTTTCAAGCTTCTTTCATCCAAACACGAGCAAGCCATGTATTTGTTGTGCTCAATTCGTTTGTATTCTTGTAGGCTCGGCACCAAATTGATTTGGTAACTTTATTTGTTAGTTGTACTAGTTGAACAATAGTGTCAATTTGGTCTATAAGAAATTTTTTTTTTCTTAAGCATTTTGGCTGAAGTTTTACTCAACATTCCATGGCCGTTGAAAACTTTTACAAATTTGTAGTAAATCAAGGGATGGCTGAATGATTTCTTTTTATACTCGGTGATATGACTATTTTCTGAGATAAAGTTAAATTCTAATAGTTTAGATTGTCTCAACGTCTGAGGAACCAATTTATGGAGTGTTGTGTGCTATGGATCGTAAACACATGAACTAGAAACTATTATGAAGTATGGCAAGTTGAAGGGGTTTTAGAATGTGATGATCACTTGTAACCGATGTTTTAGGTTATAGATTTTTTTTTTTTGAAAATATGGGAACATGGGTAGGTATTTGAAGTTTGGGAGAATGTTTGACTTGTGATGATATTAGTGAATTACTTAAAGGACTAGGCCTAAATTAATCCACTCTACAAACTCATGATACCAATAATAAGCAATTTAGATCTTTGAATCTCCATGAACACTCCCATATTTTGAATTTTAAGTTTCTGGGGTTTAAAGTTTCCAAAAAAACATATTTCTTAAGGTTATTACATATTGGGTGGATGCCCAAGAAACACTTCGATCAATAAATCTTGCTTGTGTTCCACTTGTGTTTATAGCGACAATGACTGATCTCTTTTAATATGTAATAAAAAATAGAATAAGGATAAGTCAAAATCTGTAAGCACTGAGGTATAGTCAAATAGGCAAACAATGATGTAGATGAGGATGTAGAAAGCCTAAGGCATGCTAATGTTCAAGGTATGTAGTGGAGGTGGATATATGAGGTGGCAAAGTATATGGGTATGCCTTTAAGATAGGGTAGACAAAGTCATGGGATTATGTTCATAATAACACAATCCTAAGTATGAGTAATTCTTTCTTCATAAAGAAGCTTTTTATTTTAATTTGTAGAAATATAATCCTTTCATATGAACATTCTAGTGAATGAAAGCTAATGAATATAGCTTCAAAGATAATGGAACTTATATTCGGAACATTAGACATGTCTGGATTATAAAAAAAAACCTAGATCGAAAGTTCATGGAGATTGTTCAAGAATAAAAGCTCTATAACTCAAATAGACCTAAAGTTCAATTCGATCTCCAGACATGATGAACTAGAATGAACATCTACTTGCTCCGGTCTTTAACTAGTGAATTGAATATACCAAATTCAATTTAAGGTATTGTTGAACTTAATATCAGCTCGTTATTTCAACTTCAATGAACGTAGTGAATAGTTTAATTTTTAATTTGTGTTTATCCACCTAAAGTAGAAATGAACTAATAATTATTTGCTAGTTCCTTCTTTTTTAAGGGACTAACAAATAAGATTCAATTGAATGTTAACTTTCTCTTTGTTGACTATAAAAAAATATAATTAGAAATCTGATATACCTGGCTTCGACGAGTCCTGACATCGTGCGGTTTTGCCTCCAAATGAAAGCGACCTGTCCGTTCAAAACAAAATTAAACCTGCATCGCTCACCTCCCTTTAAAATATAATCGAAGCACTTAAGGTTCGCGGAATGATCTTCTTCTCTTTTCCATTGTTGCCGTTCGGTTTTGTTGCTTGGAAGAGGCGAAGAAAATTTGCAACAGTCGCTTCTTAGGCTCCCTCATCACTATTCGCAGGAGGCGGAGACCGCACTCGTCGCTCCTGTCGACTTCGCTCTTCAACTCCCGGTCACAGTTCAGCTTTGCTCTTTCAACTCCCCGTTTGATTTTTAATCCGGGCAGATGGTTTTAAATTTGATGAACTCGGGCCGTCGTATCTTAGATCCGGTCGGGTTGGTTCCAAATTGAGACCTAAACGCAGTCGATCTTAGATCCTGGTGTGTTGGTTTAAAATTGAAGACCCTATGCCGTCGACCTTAGGTCTGGATAGGAAGAAATTACGTTGGTGCCGTCCCGATTTCTCTCTCGGTGGGGAGGAGACACCGGGAGGCTGCCGAAATTTCTTGGAAAATTATAGAACTCGTCTTTTCGAAACGATTAGAGAGCAATTTGATTTGAATTTTAATTAATCAATCAATTAATTGATTAAAATTCATTGCTTAAAGTAAATTGAATTTGAAATTTATTGACTAAAAAATAAATAAATAAAAATAATACTTCAAATTTGAGGCCATTTAAAATTAATGAGTTTCAAAATATCGGAGCCATTTTAAAGAAAATGCTAAATACGAGAATTTCAAATTCCGAGAGTTTTAAATTTTTAGATATTTTTTAAAAAATTTAGAGCAGTGAATTTTAAAATTGATTTACTGGTTAATTATTTTATTAATCAAGAAAATAATAATAATATAATGAAATGCAGTAAAAAAGAGAGAAAAAGTTCCACTAATCAATATGTACAATGATACTTTAAAGCTCTCAAACTCTCCCAAATACTCTCCAAAACAAAAGTTCTCAAACTCTCAATGTTGTACATACTGCTCTCTAAACCCCTCAAATTATAACTCACAACAACTCTTAAGACTCCCCAAATACGAACTGAAACTCTCTAACAAAACAAAATATCCAGCAAGTCCTCCAAAGTCTCTTCTTATATAAGCTCCTACAGGTACCTTTGAGTTCTATCCTCTGCATTGCAAGCCCTGGTACTTTAACTACTAGCTATAAACACCTTCAAATAAGCAAATGAAATGTCAGTATATCATAAATAAATTGAATGAATGCTGATAAATCTAAGCTATTGCAGGTAGAACAGAGTACTAGAAAGTAAGAAAAGCTAAGTACGAAAAAGCTAGTAGAGCAATAGTGCTAAAAGACGGGTAGAGTAGTGGACTACTGTAATAGGAAAAAAACTACGAACACAAAATAATAAAAACACTAACACAATGTCAATATCTCGAAGTGTCAAAACTCTGAAGTATCAAGATCACAAACTCAATCAACTCAAACAAATTCATAACAAATTTTCAAACAATCAAATTTAAACTAAGGGCAGCCTTGTTTATAAGAACTTGGTTTTAAGACCACTACTCGGCAACTTTCGTAGGAAAGTCGTAAGCCCGACTTTAGAGAACGTTTTAGGTAAAAATTTACCTAACTCATAACCTCCAATTAATACCCTCGGCCACTTCTAATAGAAGCCGTAAGTCCGACATCTGAGTGAAGTGTTTAGGTGATAATACAAACCTAGACCTCACTTGGGCAGCCTAGTTTATAGGGCTTGGTTGTAAGACCCACACTTCGGGACACTTAGCTTAAGGTTCTAAGTCGTAAGACCCGTAGTTAGGCAAATTTCTAACGAAGTACTAAGACCTACCTAGCTAAAAATCATTGGGCCACCCTAGCAGAGGCCGTAAGTCCCTATCTAAATCTAATCCTATGAAATAACTTTTGCTGAAAAATCAAGGCAAAAGCCTCAAGAAAGAATTTCATCTTTAATATAATATTTTGAAGTACAATAATTATAATTCCTATGTTAAAAGCATGTGGAATTTCTATTGTAGGATTTTCTATCCAAATAGTTAAAGCCTACGGGTATCCTAGCCTATAGGGTTAGGTTGTAACCCACCAGTGGGCTACTTCTAAGTGAGGCGTAAGACCCATGTTTTAGGAAAATTACTAAATAAATTAGAATGAACCTAAAACCTAAACAATTAAATTTAAACCTATGAGCATCTTAGTCTAAAGGATTAAGTTGTAAGATCCGCTTTTCAGGCTACTTCCTAAGGGAAGCCATAAGCCCTACCAATAATTAAAATTCTCAGGTAGTCTCGCTATAGAGTTTGGTTGTAAGACCCATCTTTGGGCAACTCATAAATAGAGTAATAAGCCCCAATTCCAAATTAAATCCCTGGGTTACTTTCTACGAAAGCCGTAAGTCCCAACCTAAGTTTAAATTCCTTGGCTACTTCTTAGAGAAGCCATAAGACCCGCTCCAATCCAAACTTCGGGATTATTTCTAAACGAAGTTATGAATCCCAAACTAAATTAATTTTTGAGTATTCAAATAGATGTAAACCCCAAACCCCAAACAAAAATTTAAACTAAAATCAACATCTTATTACTTCAGCTACTCGGATCCATGAGAGAAGGCAACCCATGGCTGCTAATCAGATTCCTTGAACACTACGGTCAATGTTTGTTAGTGTTGGTAGACTGAAATCTACGGTATACCCGGGACGACGGTACCATGGGATCTTGATTGGGTTTACCTCCATCTTCCCACCATTGAACTAAATACTT